TTTTTATCTACCTGGTATATTCTTCCCTGATTAAAAAAAATAAAAAAATTGGTCAAGTGCGAGTCGGACTCGCGCACGAAGGGTTTCGTACCATTCATTATCTAATACAACATTAGACACTATATTATTATAAACTTTTTTCCGATTTAGCTGAAATTTTGAATGCGCTTATAAGTAATTAAAAAAATGAAGAAACACATTACTAAAAATTGTATCAATCAATAATAAATATGTAAAAAGTAAAAATAAATATGTAAAAATTAAAAAAAAACGATTAAAAAAAGACGCGTTGGCTAGGTTCGAACCTGCCTTACTACGGCTCCAACGTCATAGCAGCGTAAAGTCCTAACGCTTTAAACACGCGGCCACCGAGGACTTGAAAGATACTATGTAAAATTCTTACTTAAAAGATAATGTTTAGTGAAAGTACTTTTTTATTTATAAACATTTATTTAGTTCTGCTTTTAATATTTGTTCTTATAGCGGCAACATAGATACATTATCTGTGAAAATTCCAACTGTCTAGCTATAACGGTTCATAAGATAGACCTTTGCGACAGACGGACGGACGGACAGCGAAGTCTTAGTAATAGCACAGAATATCTAGCTACGCGTAGCTGCGTAGCTAGATATTCTGTGGTAATAGCCTTGTTTATATAATATGGTTGCCGTTTTTACCCTTTGGGTACGGAACCCTAAAAATAAATATAATATTAATATACTGTATGCACTGAAGATTATATGGTCAATTTAAAACAAAATAAGTTATAAAGCCGAAATCTTCGTACCATTACCATGGAGAAAGAGAAAACTTAAGCGTGAGATTATCAAAAGAAGGCGTTATACTTGTAAGCTAAAAATTATATTCCTATATAATTTTTAGCTTCATGATCCTTATAATAAATTATAAGTCTCGTATTAAGTTGATATCCCAACCCAATGTCGTGGCATCGATGGCCATTTTATTTAATACTCACCCTGTATATTTAAATTAAATTTGAAACGTTGTCTTTTAAATAAAAAGCTCTTTTTGGAAAAACCAAGTCTGGCTAAATTATCTTTTAAATTTGTATCATACACAATCCAATAGGTAGAAATTTACCGTATGATCGAAAAAAAACGGCGTCCAGGCGAGGAAATGACGATCAATGACATTTCCCAATAAATTTACATATAAAATGACAGCCATCTTCATTTCATAGCCATCGCTGACGCTGTTTTTTGGATCATACGGTATATTGAGATGCGTTCACACCGGCTGCGTCGCTCCGCGCCGCGCCGTGCAAATCATTTTTTTAACATATACTTTTGTGCGCGTTAAAAAAATACACTTCAAAAGTACATGTTAAAAAAATGTTTTGCGCAGAGCGGCGCAGCCGGCGTGAACGCACCTTTACAGTTTATCAACAGTTCATACAACAGTTTGTTTATCTGATGTAAAAATGTAAAAAATGGGTAAGTTAAATTATTGTAGGTTGATTGATTATGTTACATACTGCATATATCTGTCAAAACGAATGCAATAAATAACATTAAGTACCATGTTAACATCGTTTAAGAAAATCAGAGAAAATATAGAGAATAAACAGTTTTGAAAAATATGTTTTTTTTTCGCTGAGAAAGGTCAAACTGAGTTCGAACAAATAACAATTTTTCTAGAGTACAAAATAATAAAACTTTAAACTTGACGTTTTTCATGTAGAGTTTAAAAATACTCTCTCCCATTTAGATGGTTCCAGGAAAAACTAGCAGTACTGCCAGGTGTTTAAACTGAAACTAAAACCTTATTATAATTAACAAAGTTTTTATAAACTTACTAGCGTGTACCAGCGACTTCGTTCGCGTCGAATTAATCATTTGTAATGGTGGTGATAAAGCAAAGCAAGAATTACCATTAACATACAAACTGGATAAAATTTTCTCACATTTATGTCAGCATGAGAAAATATAGACAATATGGCGATATTATTATATAACTTGGTAATATTTGAGGGGTAGTTTCTTCTCGTTGGAATTTGACTTTCGAAAAATCCATTTGCCAAAAATAAGCTTTTTACGTCAAGCAATTTAAGCAGTATCGTGGTTAAGAAATTACCCAACTTTTGGAACAAACTGTATGATTTTTTAAAAAATTTCAAAATATGTAAAAAAAACAAATAAATTATGCTTGTCCAAGCGTTTTCCCGAAAGACTAACCGTTTTTTAAATAACAAATATTGTAATATTTGAGGGGCGTTCTCACCCTCTTGGAACTTGAGATTCGAGAAACCCCTCCTTTACGAACCTCTACACCCCACAGTCAATCCGTTTGCCAAAAATCAGCTTTAAACGTCGAGCAGTTTAAGCAGAATCGTGATTACTCAATGGTCATATTTTATGAAACACCCTGTATAAATTTATAAAAAATCTTAAAATATGTAAAACAACAAAATAAAATATACGTGCTTAAGAGTTTTTCCGAAAAACTCACCGGTTTTTAAATAAAAAATATTTTAATATTTGAGGGATAGTTTCACCCCCTTAGAATTCGAGTTTCAAAAAGTCCTTTCTTATCGAACCTCTACACCCTAAAGTCAATCTGTTTTCCAAAAATCAGCTTTTTACGTCAAGCGCTTTAAGCAGGATCGTGATTAATCAATGGCCAGATTTATCGAAACACCCTGTATACCTTTTTAAAAATCTTAAAATATGTAAAAAAACAAAATAAAATATACGTGTTTAAGCGTTTTTTCAGAAACTTGACCGTTTTTTAAATAAAAAAATATTGTAATATTTGAGGGGTGGTTTCACCCTCTTGGAACTGGAATTTCGAAAAATCCCTTCTTATCGAACCTCTACACCCTAGAATCAACCTGTATGCCAAAATTGAGCTTCTTACGTTGAGTGGTTTGAGCAGGATCACTTAAGGAGTCAGTCACTTAAGGATTTTATATATTAGAATAGATATATTAGGTACTAATGGGGTCAACCAATTCAAAACAAGGCTAATAATTAAGAAGCATTATATTATATACAGGGTGTCCCAATATTCCGTGGACATAGTGTTTTTACAATCATCCAAATAAGTTCATTGGACACAATTTACCAGCATACAAAAGTGCTTCGTGTGTCCGCTAGAGGGCATCATGCTTCAAAAAAATAAACACATTTTTTCAGATATTTTAAGAACCGGTTATTCCTATTTGAATAAGATTTTGGGTGTCTATATTTTGCTAAATGCTTTGACTTTTACAAAAATCAAAAAAAAGTCCGGGAACGGTAAAAACTACCCCCACCCCTACATAAATTTTGGTATAAATATATTTTCCAACTCCATTGACGACAGATTTTCTTTGCGTAAAATAGTTACTGTAGTATTTACCATGTATTTACTACATTTCTCGTCTATTGTAAAAAAAACGTCACCTCGCATACTTTTTGAGGAAAAAAAAATTCCGAAGCTGGAAGTTTTTTTGTCACATCACAAATTATAAATTAATTATTAACGTTCAGATTTATTTTTAATCGATGCCCTCTAATGGACAAACCAAGAATTTTATACAAAGGTAAATAACCCCCTGTATATTACTGCACATTTCAATTCTAAGCAAAAATCGGAATACACACAATATACTTCAAACCAACCGTTTCCGAGTTATTGACTTTTGAAAATATCGATATGTATAATTTCGATATGTTCAGTTTCATTTAACGATGCCATCATTTAGTAGCCATCATTTAACGATGCCATCATTTAGATTCAGTTAGTTATTCTATGGATGCCATTCTGCCGAAACTGTGATACTTAATAATATTTTTTGATATTAGTTCTCAAGTATGGAGTGTAGAGTCAAGTAGGAACAACTCCGTGCATTAAAAAATGGTCAAAAAATGGGAAGAATTACGATGGCGCTGCTGTAGCAAAAACCTAAAATTTAAGACATGCGCTGAACATTTTCAAAACAGCTGAATCAGCTGATTCAAAAGACATAAACATAAATATTTGACGTGAAAATCATATACGTGAAGCCGCGGGTTTCAAAAAAATACAAATTTTATTTTCATGTCACATGAAATAAATTACAGATTTTTATTCAGCAGCAATAGACTAGGCCCTTTTTTATTGTTTTTCATAAGTTATTTCGCAAATGTCATTCAAGACGACGAAAAAATATTCTGATCGTTTTAGCTTAAAATTAATGTTAATTATAATTAAGAAAATTTTTATTTAATAAGTAAGTAATAATTGGTGATGGGTTTAAAATAAATATAATGCAGCTTTAAAATAACTTCATATCTACATTTATTTAGTGTAAAAGTAAGTCAATATGTGGTTTTATTATCGATTATTCAGAAGCAATAGACTGAGCCTCTTTTTTATTGTTTCTCATAAGTTATTTCGTAAATCTCATTCAAGATGAAAAAGCTTTAATTTAAAATTAATGTTAATTATAATAAGAAAAACTTTATTTAAAGTTTAATTGATGATATGGGATTTAAATAAATATAATGCAGGTCAAAAATAATGTAACACATTTTATTTAGTATAAAGATTAAGCCAATATAATGTAATTTTATACTGTACAAGTATTTATTTACGTTTTGTCATGGTAGTTGCCATGTTGCCATTCATTCAGAATAGTGGATTTTAAATGTTCGATAGTCGGGTGGCTTAACTACCTTAATATCAACTACTTCTAGACAAGAATCGTGTGCAGTATTATCTTCTTTTTCACTCCCAGCTATTTCAACTTGGCTTGCATGGCTTGGGACGTGGAATAATATAATTTTATAGCCCTTCCAGATCCTCATGTCTTCCTTGTACTTTACCCAATAGAATCGTTCTCGCAGCTTCCTCCTAACTTGGTAGTTGCTATTCATTCAGAATAGTGGATTTTAAATATATTTGGTAGTCGGATGGTTTAACTATCGTAACAATAACTACTTTTAATAATTCTTTTTCTCAATTCTTTGCACTATAATTTGCATCCCACGTATTGTAATATTTTCCTTTGAATTTCGTTTCCTATTGTCCCATGGCTTGAGACGTAATGTTATAGCATAGCCCTTCCAGATCCTCATGTATATGTCCCTTTTCCTTGTAGTCCACCCAATAGAACTTTTCTCTTAGCTTCCTCTCAAGTCGGTAGTTGCCATTCATTAAGAATAGTGGATTTTAAACATGTTTCGTACTCGGATGGTTTAACTACTGTAACATCATAAATAAACTGTATACCAACACATAATGGCCAAACTTCAACAGACTTTAATATTCATAAACCTCATCAGAAGAAAATATTTTTTGATCCAAAGTTTTTTTTTTCGTTATTAGAATAAATTACCTGCAATTTGTTAATTCATTACAACATTGAATAAAAGATGCAAAGTGTTTATACACATACTATAATAGATAAATCTTCATTTAAAATTATGTGATAGATCTGCTTGCTTGTAGGATCTAGACTCATAAACTCAATAATTTCTTTTATTGATATAACCAATAAAGTGGTAATGCTGAAATTTTGTTTTTGATTTGAGCAATAGGGTCCATTATTTCCATTATTTGATGCTGTTATTGCTCTACAAAATGTTGATCTTTATCAAGGGATGTTTATGTGTATAATATTACTATTTATGTGTATAATAATACTGTATGATCAAAAAACACGGCGTCCAGTTGGCTTGGAAATGAACATCTCGATGACATTCTCCATATCATTTTACATATAAAATGACAGCAATCTTCATTTCATAGGCATCGCTGACGCCGTTTTTTATTCGATCAAATTGTACTTACGTGTATAATATTCATTTAATGGTTCCTGTTTTAGTTGCTGGTGTTCATATTTTGGTTTTTTATTCTGTTGTTGCTCTACAAAATGTTAATATTTATGTGTATAACATTACTCTGTGTATAATAATACTTAGGTGTATAATATTCATTTAATGGTGCCCTTCTTACTTGTTGCTGTTGTTGCAACTCAGAATTTAAATTAACCTGAGGAAGTAGGTAGAGCTTCATCCTCCAATATTTTCCTATGTAAATACTGCAAGTGGACAGTATTTCTGATGACAATTTTATTATAAACTTTAACATCTTGTTCTTTAAAATGAAACTGCCATACCTTATCTGTAGATTTCAAAGCAATAGGTATCTAAATGCTTTTGACCATCGCTGTAATCTAATTCTTGTCTGAAAATCAATACCTAATATTATCCTGATGATTTTGATTTTTGATAGATTATTAAAATAGAGCACTTACAGTTAACTATATTTCTTGAAAGTACCTAAAATTTTATTTATTTCCTACTTTTACTTGTTTAAAATCAAATCAAACAATTTGTGCATGTCTGTCAATCTTTAAAATCATTAAAAATAAATTTTATTCAGGTTGTAACTTTATAAAAAGGATTGTAAAAATATACTTTGTAACATGTATGTCAATAATCTTACGAAAAATGTTTACTACACTTTTGATTGACTCTAATTTTTATATATAATACAAATAATACAATACTGAATTATATTATGTATTTTACATACCGTAGGCTTTGCCTTTGCTCTTTATTTTTCCATCAGCTATTCAATCAACTTCGCACCACACACACTTTAACCATTGTTAAATAATAAATAAAGCACAAAATATTGATAAACAATAATTATTTTATATTCTAAAAAATAAAAACAAAACTTTTTTTGGGTAATGTTTGGTTATATTTATTTTTATTCTCTTATCTATGGTTACTTTTCATTTTTTAGATTAATGCGTTTTTAGCGCCACTGTGGTCATTTCGCGAACCCATATTCTTCCCATTTTGTGACCACTTTTTCAATAAAAGTCCTAAGAGTTATTTCTTCTTACCTCTACACTCCATATTCTCACGTTAGCATTTATAGATGTATAAAATGAGATTGTATCAAATCTGGAAATTGCAAAATCTTCGCTTAACATTTCAATTCTTCAATTTGTGTACATTGTGTATTACAATTATTGCTTAAAATTGAAGAAAAAGTTGAAATATGCAATAATATACAGGGGGTTCCATTTAAAAAAAATTAAGTTTGATGTGCCACAACTTTATGATCGACCCTGTATACTTACATTTACTAGTAGCTAATAGGCATTCAAAAACTCAGTGTCATAGTTTCGGCAGAATGGCATCATTAAATGAAACTGAACATATCGAAATTAATAATTAAATCAAATTGTTTAAGTGATATTGTCAACAGCACGAATTTCAGATTTATCATTAAAATAAATCACCCAATATATTAAGTGGAATATATTTTTTTAAACATAATTTTTGCACAATAAGAATTAAACTAGAACAAGTTGACGTCAGACTAAGATCTGAAGGTGAACTTTGTTTAATTCTTATTGTTGTAAATATCAGTATGTAGAATTATTAAAAGTTAAATTAGAAGAGAGTCTTGGCTCTCTCTGGGGAGAATAAATCAAGAAGTCATGCTGTTCAGATGAGTTGAGTTCTCCAAGTAAAATAATGACAGTAAAGTAATTAGTTTATAATTTTTTGTATATTTTCTCTTAGTATATTTTATTGGTCGAAAGGTATTCTGCTTGACATTTCTCCTACATAAATTCATGTATTTAATTCTTTAATAAATTTATATTTTGTATATGAGGTTTTAATGATCTTCGATACCTAAAACGTCCCTAGCCGCAACCCTCTAAACCAGGGTCGCGACAATATGTTCAAAAGTGAATAACTCGAAAACGGTTGGTTTGAGGTACATTGTGTGTATTTCGATTTTTGCTTAGAATTGAAGGAAGAACTGAAATATGCAATAATATAAGGGGGTTCTATTTAAAAAAATGAAACTTTTATGTGCCACCCTGACAGACTCTGTATTCTTAAATGTATTACTCGCTAATAGAAATTTAAAAAACCTATAACTTTCGTATTTAACCTTTTGCGGTACCTCCTATATTTTACCTAATAATCGACCGTTTCCATACATAAAGCGACCCTGTATAACCAATACGTCAGTAAAACCATGTTTACACAACCCCGTATATTTGATTTTAGAATTCAAAATATAAAATTGAATTATATCGCTTCAAACCATATAACAAAGATTAACCCGGTTTTGAAATGTTCGATTTGTATATTTGAAAAGCGATAGATAATTATAGAATGAAATAAAATTTTAAAATAGTGACCCGCTCTCAAAAAGTTACTTTTCTATTAATCATGACTTAAGACTTGAAAATTTCGGTTTAAAACCCTGTTGTAGACTCTAATCTGGAAAGGCATATTGTTATTCTCGAAGGCATGAATACGTATTTTGAAGGAGGGTTTTGATATTTTAATATACAGGGTGCCCCAGTATTCCGTAGAGATATAGATATAGAGATACACCCTCAGAGGGGGACACCCTGTATAATATGTGTATTTCTTAATATTACATTAGAAACGATATTCTCTAGGGATGTAGAGCACTTAAGGACAACGCCACAGAGCAATATAGAATAAAAACAAACAAGACCAATCCAGAAAATTGCTCGAAAGAGGCAATATCTTTCTTTAATATGCTGTTGGTTTTAAGTAGGTTTAAGCAGTTTAAGTTTTAAGTATAAACGGGATTAACTATTTTAAAACAAGCAAATTTTTTTATTCAGAATGCATTTTTCTCAAAATGTCAATAATAAAAAAGTTTTTCCTCTTATAAAGACAATACGGAGACATACTGTATACATATACATATATTGATTCTGTATACTAATAATTTAATTAATGTTTATAGCAAATAAACTAGAATAATTAATATTAAAGTGAATTGAAAAAGTGCATGGAGTAATGAGTTAACAATACAAACTTAAAAATATAGGTCAAAGCACTATTTTGGAGCAAATGCGTTTTTTTTCAGTATTTTTTAGAGCAGGTCAAGGTATCGGTGTTGAGAAGCTGAACAATTAATTTTGCATTATCTACAATTTTCTTTTGGCTAATTTTTGCCAAAACGGTAAAAAATAACGCGAAATTATTGGGCAGTGTGTCAAGGTAATATTAGAGTCAAGGTATATGAAAAAAATAGTATCCTATACGTTTTACGTGACTCTAAACGTGAAGGTCAAACACGTATTGTGATTTTTTTTTTAATTTAAAAGTATTTAGTGCTTTACCTTGCTCTAAACCCAATAGCTATGCCTCCTTACCTAAATAAACAACAAAATTAAACTAATTAAAAATATCTAATAGATTCATAAAAAGCACAAGACTCAACAAGGTTTTAAATATGTAATAATTCTTCTTCTTCTTCATGTACCGTCTCCATACCGTCTCCATACCGTCTCCATACCGTCTCCATTGCTATTTTGACCTTGGAAGCTGCGGCGCTAAATTTTCGCAGGTTTCTGAGCCAGGATATTCTTCTCTTTCCAATCGATCTTTTTCCTACAATTTTTCCCTGGATTATGAGCTGCAAAATCTTGGACCTCTCATGATATGGCCGAGATATTGCAATTTTCTTTTTTTTACTTCCGTGAGGATCTCTACGCCTTTCTTCATTCTTCTCAGAACCTCCACGTTGGTTACATGTTCTGTCCATGGTATTCTCAACATTCTACGGTATGCTCACATCTCGAAGACCTCCAGTTTCCGCTCGCAAAGCTCGTTGAGAGTCCAAGTTTCTATACCATACAAAAGGGCTGGGAATACATAACATACGAGTTCTCATATCTAGGCTCAAATCGCGGCTACAGAGCAGCTTCTTAATCCTCACAAAGGATGCACGATTCATTTATTTCTGAACAATAATCCACGGTGTAGTCGACACTTGTACCCAGGTAGTCATACCTCTCTACTCTTTTGAGCTCCTCGCCTTCCGCGTACAGATGTTCATTGGGCACTCCAGTTTTAGTGACAATCATATATTTGGTCGTCTTAACATTGAGTGTCAGACCATATTCTCGACTAGTTGTTGTAATAATAGGTCCTAATAAATTCCTAATAGTGAACAATATGTATATCAATCCTCATAGATGGATTATATTATTCTCCTTCTAATAAAATAAAACTCTCAATTTGGCCAAAATTGTACTGCCTTTTAGCACTCGATATGTAATCATCATCATTTTCAGTTTCTTCAATCATTTCCAATTATGGTTTAGACTCCCTCACATACTCTCTTTGTAATTGGGCCCATTGTTGTCAATTTTTGGCTATGCGGGTCCGAGTTCCTTGCTAACTTCCTAATATCATGGTCTCTTCTAGGTCTCTTGTGGGTACCATGTTGTCATTTCTGTGGTCTATCTGTTGTCTGTCCTTCTTGCCAGGTATCCTACGCATTGCCATTTGGGGGATTTAACTCTATGGATGACATCTATTACCTAGGTCTTTTGTCGTACTTAGCCACTCTATTCTTTTACGGTCTCTCTTGGTCATTCCCAGCATATTTTGTTCCATTGAACGTTGTGCGACCTGCAGTTTCCTTATGATGTCCGTTTTAAGTGTCCAGGTTTCACATTCATAGGTCATGACTGGTAGTACACATTGGTCGAATGTTTTCTTCTTTAGATAGAGTGGCATTCTAGATTTGAATATTATTGAGTTTCTTCCAGAAGTCCTCCACTTAATTCTTCTGTTGATTTTTGGTAGTAGAGATCCCGAGCTGTGTATGGGATCCCGAGTTATCCCAAATATATACAGGGTGTCCCCGAAATACGTGCAATTATTTTAAGGGGTGGTAGATCTAGTCAAAATAAACATTTTTTCTCATTACCGTTTTTCAAGTAAGTCCAAAATAACCGAGTTGTTTTACTTTAAACAAAAAATGCTTTTTTGTTTAAATTTTGAGAACCACTGGATCTTTTCTGGATTTCCTTTCTTGTAAATTTAATCTACTACCTATGTTGCCATATTATCAAGAAATTATGTTTTTTTAAATTAAAACTAAAAACATTTCCAGAATTTTTTTCAAAAAATTTCAAATTTTCATTTTTTTTTTCGCAAAAAAACCTCATAGGCGTGTTTCTGGGGCCGAAATATACTACCAGTTAAAATACTTGCACTTATTTCTGGGACACCCTGTATATTCCTCTACTATTTCCAGTGTTATGTTATTTATTAGAATGTCTTTTCTAATACTCTACTACTACAAAAAACCGCTATAAATTTAAGAACACTTTAAATACAAAAATGTTTATTATTTAAGTCCGCATCTAAACGAAAAATGATATATAGGGTGTTGCGTTTAAAAAAATTGAGATATAGCATTTAAAATATTCCGATTTTGTGTAACGCCATAAAAATACCCTGTATAGGATAGTGTACATTTTTTTAACGGATCTATTTTGTGTTTAGGAAAATATAGCATTAATAATGTTATATTCAATTTTTAACCACTTTTCGGAGATAGTGTTTTTAAGCAAAGTTTCAGGTAAATACGAAATAGAATGGCAACACCGCATAGTGCTTCAAATTAAAATAGTGCAATTATACTATTCCTACATACATATTCATGTATATAGGATTGTATGCTGAATCCAATCATCCCCCAAAAATGGGGGGTGCAGTATAAAAAAACCTAAAACTTTTTTTGTAACGCCCCTTTTTTGAGTTGATATACAACAAAATATTTTTAGGATATGCACCATTATAAACCATTCAACATCTGTATAAAACTTGTTTAGATATCTTCGACAACACCGATGATTTGGACGTTCCTTGCATTAATGGGCCACCCTATAAATATGTATTTATAAGTTAGATATGATATTATAATCTGTCCAACGAATCAGGGAAGATTTCGAAAGACGACATCCAAAAACTGACAGAAAATAAAATTTGCCTGTGAAGAAAATGACAGACATAACTGTCACTGTCAGAGATGCTCCAGTTGGACAAACAAGTGATACCTATTTATTTAATATAAGCTGTCATGGAACTATACCTACCTATTAAGTCCAAAAAGTATAAAATTCTTTTAGAAGAAAAGCAGAAAAGATTTTACAAGATTATATTTCCGGAAAATAACGTAAATTTTATTATGACTGTATTTTAGGAATAAAGCTCATAAAAACTCAAGTATCTTCCATGAATTCATTATTCACAAGTATTAGTAGAGCATTAAAGCATCTTAATTATGCGTTTTTAAAACGAAAAGAGTTCCAAATATTGTGATAATTAACTTTCTTTATACACACAAATCATTTTTTTACTATTCGGAGATTCCCACACCTCAACCGATTCCCGCGAAGAAAAAACTATTAATATCCCACAAACAGAGGGAGGGGAGTTATTTTAAATATATATAACTCAAAAACTCCACCGATTTTTTTCACAATACTGATATTTCGACTTTCTAGATGTTAAAAAACTACACCGTCCAGCTATAACATTGAAGCAACATAAATTCTTAGTAGACATCAAGTCTGGTGTGTCTGGTGGTTTCACTTCATCCTAGTGTAGTACCGAGTGAAAACTTGTTTTTATTTAAAAGGAGGATAGAAGTTGGGAACAGAGCTTATTTTTGCTGGACGCGAGTGTCACAATGCGACCCGATCATAACATAATCTTCCTCAGTGATTCTTAAATACTTTTGAAAGAAGTTAAGTTTCGAAAGTGGTGGTAGTAGTTCAGGAGCATCTACTAGTGTACTAGTGTTATGTGAACAGAAAAAATTGTGTTTCGTTCTTTTTTCAATTTGTTAATTTATAACAAAGCAATCATGACGGTTATTATGACCACACAGGATAGCTTAAAGGATGCCAGTGCTCTTAAAAAAAGATGGTAAGTCTGATTTTCGTTAAGAATATTATTGGACAAATCAAAGCTTGTAATTAACCCACACAGATATTTTTGAATTTTATAATTAGTTCTTATATGTTTTAAACTAAAACAAATATTCAGTTGATCAAGAAGTATTATGATCATGTGATTCAAAGCATTTTTTAATCCTTACTAGACCTCAAGAGCTCATACCTGTTTTGCGAAGATGTATTGCAAAGATTTTTATGACAATTTAATTAAATTATTTTTATTTTATTATGCATTTAGTTGTTTCTATTCTACTGTCTAAATTGATAATTATTGTGCATGTATGACAATTTTAAATTTGTATAATCTAAAAATTTCAGAAAAAACAACACACTCGTCGATATGTTTTTTTTTTTTTTTAATGTAACGAACAATTACACACGAACTAAAAATTAATGTTATTGACTTTGCTCAGCTTGTGTCTAAATTACCCCAACAGGTGTATCTGTTTATAAATCAAATATTCAAACAGCAAGTTAGATATTTTTTTAAACATAGCTATTTTAGTATCAGTATTTTGGTCCTATATTTCGAATAGTAGTATTCCTAATTCCTATTAACCTAAAAACACAGTTTTGTTATAATAACATCAGTATAGGCGGCTATATTATACAGTAGGTCTCCGAATTTCCTTAAGAGGAAAAACTTTTTTATTATTGACATTTTGAGAAAAATACATCCTTCATAAAAATGTTGCTTCTTTTAAAATAGTTAATTCCGTTTATAGTTTTCCAAATTTCCATACCGTTTTAAAGAAAATCCAGTGGCGTTTCTATGGTAATATAATTTCGGGGTTTTATTCTTTAATAGATTACCCTACCCTTTCCGTAGCATTGAACTAAATAAATTTTATAATTGTATGACATTTTAAAACAATATTATTATAGCATAATAATTATCAATAACGAAATTATATTACCATAGCGTTTTGATTTTTAGGAAAAAATATCAATAATAAAAAAGTGTTTTCCCCTGTAAAGACAATCCGGGGACATACTGTATAGTACCTAACCAATATATCAGTTTTACTAGAAATTAATAGATAAATGTTGAGTATTACCACAGATCGATAACTTTATTTGATATTGATTTTTTTAGTTACCTGATTTTCAAATTTTTGCTGTTTGGGGACACAACGTCGTATGATTACAGCAACTAGAAATTAAAGAAGAATACATTGTTTTTTTAATTTCATTTTAAATTTTGAGGAAAAAAATATAAAAAAGTGAAAAACAAATTAAATATACAAAGTAAAGAATAAAACAGTACAATATATGTGTATAATGTTGTTATTGTACATACTTTATTGTTGGATTTAAGCAAACAAGCATTTGTCTTTATCCCAGTACCTATATTTATTTGACATGACAATTTCCCACTATGTAAAATTAATGATCCTTTAAAATTTTTGGCTACAGTTGAAAATAAGCGTACACAAAATAAATCGAAATGAAAGTTAATGAACTACTGTCTAAACTTTTATTATTAAGCCTATATTTCAAGTCAGTAGTCACTTTAATTTTGGTACAAATATTTGTTTTTATTTAATGTAGAAAATAGTCTTTACTATACGTAAGTGAAATATTCGCAATATAGCTGCATTAACATGGATTAACGCTTGTGAATGGTATACAAAAGATATAAATCCTGAATTAAAAAAAATAAACTAATATAAACACATCAAAATGGTCTAGGGGACAACGTTAAAATTTTGTGCTCTCTGAGCTATTTATGTTGGATTGTAAAATTAATAAAACGAAAATGTAACTAACCGAACCTAACCTAACTGATTCAATTTCTATAGATAATAATAATAATAATAGCTCCCGTATATAGCGTTTGATGCCTTGGGAGTAGCAACCATACACACAGGAACCATACACATACCATACACCATACACATGGTACAGCTTGCCATGCTAGACCCGTTCGGTATACAAGGAAGGTAATGTGGCTAGCACTCTACGCTTCAACCGCCTATTATTACCTCAAGAACTCATTTAAGGCTGAGTCAACCTAGGTACCCAAACTATATTATTTATTTTAATAAAAATAGTCGGCTGATGAAATGCCGGGTGTAGGATTCGAACCCACACCTTGAGATTGGTAGACGAGAGCCTGTACCTCTACGCCACCGGGCACCTAGATAAGCCACTAATTTTCATCAGTGTTTAAATTTTTTAAGGGAACAAAAAATAATTTCTCTTTTTTTTTCTGATGTAAATTTCTTCAAGTATCAATAATCTTTTATCATAAAAAGCAAGCTTTCTCATAGCATTTTTAGAACACATTAAATAAATAAATAAATAAACAACGCTTTGTATTGTACAGTATTGAGCCTTTAACTAGTTCTGAGCTCGGGGTTGGCAGATAAAGGTCGTGCCCCGCATTCCTAAGTGGATACTTGTGAGATGGCCTTTCGGGAATAGCAGATATGTGCTTGCGGATTAAGCAAATGCATTCAAAAATAAATAAAGAAGGAAGAGTCAGTATTTTGAAATTTTTAAAGAAATTCTGGCAGTGAGTTCTACTGTTCAGTCCCAATAAATATCGGACTGCTCTCTTTTGAAGTTTGAAAATATGATCAAATTTTGTCGCGCAGCAAGTACGCCAGGATGGAAGGACATAACGAAGATGCGACTCAAAAAGGGTACAATAGACTATTCCAGAGGTTGATAAGTTAAGTTCCTTAGAAACTGATCTTAGCGAAAAACAGGCAGCGCTTAGTTTTTTTGGTAAAGCTTCGATGTGCAAGTCCCATTTTAACGAGTTGTGTACAACAAGTCCTAAGAATTTCACAGAGTCCACGACGTCAATAGTGGTGTTATTAAGTACAAAAGGTTGTATAGTACTTTTATATGACAAAACTTTAGTTTTTGATAGGTTGAGGCATAGGAAATTAGAATCGCACCAAGATTTAATGGTGCGAAGTCACTGGTTATTTTATTAAAGCAAAACACGTTTTAAGATATTCACTTCCATTGCAAATCAAAACAAGATTAAATTATGACAAGTATAGTATTACATACGTTTGATACTATTCATCTCAAGAGCTATAATATTTTACGAACTAAATTAGACCGAATAAGCAATCAGGAAACTGGACCTAGGAATTGCATAATTCGAAGCAATCTGTTTTCAATTTTCTTCCCAACAATCAGAAAGTTGTTTCGTTTATTTTTAGATGAGCCGTACTATATCCTAGGTCCTAGAAGATATTTTTGGGATCATCAGTTATCTTACAACTAAATAAATTTTGTTATACCTTGAAATAATTATAGGTATAACATTCAGTCATCAGTGGCGTTTTTAATTGGTTGAAAATTTGATATTTTTTTTATCTAATCATTATACGAATTAGAATAGATAATGTTATATAAATTTATATACCGAGTGCGTCTCAAAAGTGCTCACCTCTAAAACTTTTTTATTTTTTCAGATAAAAAAACGAGATTTGGTATTTTAGTATATGACATAAATTAGGATTGATTGACACATTCAATTGTTTTTGTTTATCCTGTCACTTCCTGTTTCACCGGAAATGACTACAACTTTTAATTTTTAAATTGCACCCTCGCTATTTTTTACTTTATTCGATAGAAAATAACACTCTGAATAGAATGGCAAATCATATGTCAATTTTTGACATTTTCGCATATGGTTTATTTGAAATTATAATTTGCGGTTCGTAACGAAAATTTGACTCAAATTACAAAGTGTGTGGTATCAAATTATTCGTCAAACATGCTTTTTTCAAATATACTAATGAGCCACCCTCATTCCATTTGAAAAAATTGAGATATGATTAAAAATACAATTTGAGCATTTTCTAACTGGCCAGGACAAGACACTAAAAGCATTAGATAATCAAATCTATTTTTAAGGCAACCAAAGCTCCTTGATTAAGAATTAGTGTTTTTAACATAGCCATGGCACTCTAGATTGAATTTTAAAATAAGATTTTTTATTAAGCGAGAATGTCAAAAGTTGACATACGATGTCATGTCATCCTATTCAGAATGTCATTTTCTATCGAATAAAGTAAAAAAATACCGCGGGTGCTATTTAAAAATCAAAAGTTGTAGTCATTTCCGGTGAAACAGGAAGTGACCAAAAACAATTGAATACGTCAATCAATCCTAATTTATGTCATATACTAACATACCAAATCTCGTTTTTTTTTATCTGAAAAAATAAAAAAGTTATAGGGGGTGAGCCACTTTTGAAACGCACCCGGTATAAATAGATAATATTAAGAAGTAAAGAAAATGTTTCTTTTTTAGTAGTTTTTAACTTATTACTTATTATACAGGGTGGGTCTTAAATAAGTGCAAATATTTTAGGAGTAGAAACATATCCATGTTTTTTTCTGCAAATATTTATTTTTGAAAATTTGGAATTTTATGATTTTTTTTTTAATATTTAGTTAAAAAAACATAATAGTCTCATAATATGGCAATGTAGGTAATGGGTTAAATTTACATGAAAGAAAAACCGAAAAAGAACCAGTGATTCTCAAAATTTAAGCAAAAATCAATATTTTTTAAAAAAATATCGTCCCATCGTCAATTTTTCCCAACTTCAATATAGATCACATTTATGAACTTTTCATACCAAGAATGCATTGCTGATTATGTTTTTACTATTTTTAAATATATTTAAAAATTTAATTTTAATTTTCTGATTTTCAGAGAAGACAACATATTCTATTATTTAAATATTAAAAATATTTCTTTTAATTACAAGATTACCAGAAAATGAAAATTGTATAACAAAAATTGTTTATTTACTTACAATTATATAAAAGGAAGCTTATTATGGACGCTAATGATCAATATGTTGATCTGTTATAAAACTAATTTAAAGATACAACTTGGAAACATCATAAAGTAATTAAAGACACGTCCAAAATGCTGGAAACAGCGGCGACCAAAAAAACATCAAGGAAAACAACAGATTTTGGGAAGCTTGGA